TTTGATAGTAGTTAAAATCTGGATATCGAAAGATGCGAGTTTAGGCACGGATTCCGAAATTTTTTTACAACCACCTTTCCCGACCAGAATGAAGCTCCGGTGGTGTCGTCGGTCGAGCGTGAAGATGACGAGGAGCAGTTTGGAAGGGCCCGTCTCACTGACCCGCAAATCTGTCTCTCCCCGCCGGTGTGTCTCGTCGACAAGACACAATCTCCCCGAACTTCCTTTCTTAGCCAACTCCCGCCGGACTCAGCCCTTGACGATTTCAGGTGAGGTTGGGGTTATGATGCGGGCTCTTTCCGTCTCCCCCCCCCTCGAACTCTCGAGACGACGGTTACGATTCTGGTGAAACCCCTTCCTCCTCCAAAGCCGCCAGATCCGACAGACCTACACCCGAAACTGTCTTGTCCGCTTAACCCTGCAATGCTTCATCAATGGCTAGAAAAGACGGCAACCTCCTCAGATCCGAACAGCACCGGATCTAGGGGGTCGCTACGATGCGCTCGCCTTCGTGGCCCTGGCTCTCCGCCCTTTGATGTCGAGCCTCATCTCCACCACGTTCCCAGAAACTTGGCTCTCCCTAGCCCGTCGTCGGAGGGGATCGAAGATGTCTAATTCACCGAAGATGACACGCATCTCATCCGGTGTTGGCCACCGTTGCACTGGCTGCATCTCTCAACCTTGCCGAAAATTTATATGGCGATTAATCATGGTTGGATCTGGCCGAAAAAGATGTGGAGCTCGCCGAAAAAATGCCATTGGCCGTCGGCGGTCTCATGAGACATCAATTACCGATTGGGGTAAGATGGGCCTTGGTGAATTATTTATGGGTTTTACAAAGCCCACTCTATTAATTAGGCCCAATTGGAGTGTTACACTCAGTATACTTGGCCCAATTTCTAGTAGGTTAAAAATTAGATTTGCAAAAATCTCACATGCTTTTGAGCTTATTAGATCTTCATGCTTTTTGAGCTTATTAGATCTTCCATTTTGGGAAGTTCAAACTTTTCTGGATTCTCAAATCATGTAACTCTGTGGAAGACAATTCCACCTCTTCCATCGCTTTGAGCATGGTTATATCTTCTTCCTTCTCATGGAGAGTGGTGGAACCCACGTGTTTTATCCAGAAATTTCAAAGTCACATGGTAAAGTGACTAACCTGAGACTCTCCGGCTTTGCCGCGAAGACCCTCGTGACGCATCCGAAGCATGCTTTGGATTCGCTGTCCATCCTATGTGATGATCTATCTACTTTATTTTTTATTGCTTTTCAATTATGTTGTAGTAATTCTAGAGGATGGTTAATTCCCTCTCTTTGTAC